GACGCTCCTTGCACTCCCTGCCAGCCGGGCAGCCGGCTGCTGCCTGTTGTACCCGTGGCACTTGGTATCTATAAGAGGCTTTGCCTTCCCTCCAAGACGTGCTCTTTTCCAGCCCATTTCTGTGGTTTCTGTTGTGGAAGCAGTTCCTTTCTTCCCATGATTCTTGTCAACTTACCTTGAACCTTTTCTGGTTTTGTCTCTTGCTTTTAAGTGCGACGGACCAGAATTGCCCTTGGTATTCACAGTGACCAGGAATGGTGAATTTGTGGGGAAAAGCACCATCGTGTTTCATACGCTGTTCTGTATTAATTCTGTGAGGTTAAGTCATCGGCACTGTCAACTCATACAGGTGGGCTGAGCTTGGGTACCACCCCTAAGGCAAAACTTTCATTTCAGATGGTCACAGTCGACTTCAAAACATGGAAAACATGAAAATGAAAATAATAACAAGAAAAAGAATTAAGAAACTGACTGAAAATGGGCTGCTGATGTAACTGTCCCCTGCTGGCCAGTAACGTGACTGGAAAGAGAAAATTTGCTGTCAGGTGCCAGAGAAGATAATAACTTATATTTCTTAATATAAGAAAGAATGAAGGAAAAGAAGTCTTGCCTTACCGCCTTGTATTTCTGCATTGTGGGACAAATTATTTTCAAAGCTTAAGTCATTATAGCTACTTCTGTGTGCAGGATCCTGAAAGTTAATGGAAGTGTTCCTGGGTTTTGATCTGGCTTTGGAAGACCATGGCCAAGCAACTTTTCGAAATCGATTGCATTGCCTGGAAGACAATGCATTTTGGCTGTAATATGTAAACACAGGGTTTTGATGCCTCACTGCATAAAACCTCTCTATAGACCAGTCTCTACTTCTGACCACGTGGTTCTCGTTGCACTTTGCTTCCCCATGCTGGAGTAGTGTCAACTGAGGAATTGTCACTACTGTCTGCGGGTCGCAAAGGCAGGTGTGATATTCTGGGTTTGGGGCAGTGTGTAAAAAGCAGAGGAAACAGAAAAATTGTGTTCTCTTAAAAGATCTACCAAGAGGTCTTTTTTCTAAAAATACCTACCTTGGTGTTATTTGGGCTCGGGTGTTATTGTATACGTACAAAGATCGTGTAAGGCTGTTGTGCACACAGGCATTCCAAAATGCACGTGTCCTCACATAGCTATCCCAAACAGAGGATTTTTTTTTTTAAAGTCATTATTGTTCAGAG